TGAATTGATTAGTATTAAATAATATTAAGACGAAAATAATGACGCATTCATTGTACTGGTCAATCTTATCAAATACATTGTATATTCATATTAAACCTGCTTTCCAAGTAAACGAAAATTTTAGAAATTAAGAAGTTACAAATCCTCTTAGGATTGGTTTGACATGTCTTTAAAAAGTCAAAAACTGCTTATTCAAGAAGAAATTTTTTAACATATTTGAATAATTTTATGAAAGTCTTCCGTCTAACTAGATAAGCTTTTAAAAGAAGATGACCTAAGGTAGCTTTCTCATAAGGCTCTTCTACCAAAATAATAATAATAATAATAAATAAGATGATGCCCCTAGGATTCCCTGGAAGATAGAGGCTGAAAAGCCCAAACACGATATTAAACACAAGATACTAAGGATCGATTATTAATAGACAAATCATAAACTTGCAGAAAAGTAAAACTGAACACAGAAAAATCTTTTGGCTGAAGCCCCAGAAGTTTGATGACCCTTTTAACACCTAGTCCCTTGTTGAGCATCCATTCAAGAATGGATATTGCTCGGTTGTACTATAATGCCTTAGACTGTCAACAAATGTTACAAACGTATAGCCAATACCAAAATACAGTATAAGAGACTTATCTCTTCACAAAGAACAACAGATATAGCTCGAATCACACAAGAAACTGTAGATCTGACTTCACGAACCCAAAATACTATTTCTCACTACTATTACATATTTCACTCAAGAAATCACATGTATTCAAGACTAAACTATCAAAAACATCATTTTGAATGAGATGTTCAAACAATAATGGCGAATCAGAAAACCCTAGCCACTCAGAGAAGACGAACTCTCTCGAAAATGAAAGGCAGAAGAAAAATCCGTGGCCAAACAAACCGTCCAAGTGTATTTATATCACCAAGCCCAATTGACTCATCCAATGGTTCATGATGTGCCAAGTGTCAACATCCAGTGTAAAGATTACTTTATAAAATCGCATTTCCAGAAAACGTCTTTAACTGAAAATTATGGGAGCATATAGAACTGAGTTCAAGTCACAACAGAGGCAAAATAAATAAATAAATAAATAATTGCATTGCAATACAAATTCTTATTCTTTGCATTGGTCTTTTGGCATCACTGTACTAACGATAAATTTAAATAACCAAATTCATCAATCGAATAAAACTCGTATTATTTAGCCCAATATTCAAGCATGCCTTTATGCCTAAATAATCATATTATGTTAAGATGGGTCTTTAAAGTTTCATCACGTGTCCATTAATTCTTTTTTAATAATACTATTCATAGTCAGTTAGTGCAATAATCATCTTACGAACATTCTTAAGTGGCATAATTTCAATAATTTTATTAAAAAATAACTTTCAATAATGCCATGTCATGTATGATATCTACTAGCGTTACATTTTCAACTCCATAATTATCATCTTCTTTACAAAAGTATCTTTAATTAAGAATTGGAAATTCATTACATGCAAATATTTCGATCAAGTATTATCCCTTAATGGACATAATTATCAATTTAATATTCTTGAAATATGTTCAATAAATGAATGGCCTCTCATCAGTCAACATTTATTATTTTTTAGGGGTAAAACAATGATAGTAAAATCTACTTTTTTTTATTGGTGCAAAAAAAAGTAGGATTTTATTCGCTGAAACTGTCTGATAGCATCTTGTATTAAATAATTTCGTCCATGTTTTTGCAGTCAGGTGAGCTGACATATTTAAATTTTCCAGATACCAAACCTAGCTAGTATCATGTCCATAGAGAAAGTTTAGATTTTATTTTTTTTGCCTTTACAAAAAGTATGTCCTTTCACCCCTACCACGGTACTACCACCATCCAACTTGTTAAATTTTGTGATTATTATATTCCACTTTGTCGGAATGTCGAAGTGAAGTTTATTCTCGATAAATTTAAATCATAAAGTTAATAATTTTATGTAGACCGTTGATTTATCACTACTTTTGATCATTTGAATTTTAGAACTAATTACGAAAACAACATGGAAACAGTATCATGTCCACAGAGAAAAGTTACAAAAAGCGTGTCTTTTCGCTCCTACCACCTCCCAACTAGTTAAATTTCGTGATTATTGTGTTTTACACAAAGTGAAGCTTATTCTCGATAAATTTAAATCATAAATGTAATAATTTTATAGATACTATTGATTTATCACTACTTTCGATCATGTGAACTTTAGAACTAATTGCGAAAACAGTATAGAAACAGTACATATTTTACTTTATTAGATATCTTCGAATAAGATTCTTTCATACAGTGATTGCTATCGACTATCGTGAATATACAGTCCTAAGGCATAGAGTAGAGTAGGTCCATTCATTGTCTCAAGATTAAATGTATATGGAGTAAGTGTATACATTCACTAGATATTAAAGCTATAGGTAAGGAGGGATTTTCTTGTCTCACCTATATATTGCTTCTCTTCTGAAATTGGTATACTCCTTTTTTTGATATTAAGCATATTAAGCACTACATTTTTGGGTTTTTAGCTACATAGTATGGGTATATACATACGTTAAATTCATATCAACTTGTCTACCGCATTATTTTACTTTTGATCAAATAATGTTATCTATCATCAATTTAGGCAGCATTGGAACCCCTCAGTCATTATTCAAAGAGCCCACCACCACTTAAACTGGTAGATAGTATTATTCATTTTATCGAACAAGCAAGCAAATTCAATTTGAGAGTAATTGGAGCTTTTATATTGTGGGTCATAAAGAATATAGTAGAGCTGCAAGCATTTTTAATTGGCTAATTTATAAATTATTCAAAACATGGAAGATTGAGCATTGAGAAGAAATCCAACAATTTTGGACCAATTAGGATATCTTAGTACAATAATCAAGCAGATATAAGAGCACGTGTCTGAAAAAGAGACTACACTATAATGGCCCCATTCGTTTTGGCATAATGATTGTTGTTTTTCCATTAATATTTATCTTCATGCATGCAAAAATGTTATCGATAACTTGTTTCCTATAGATAATGGATATGTGTGTGTACGCATTGATGTAGACATACACCTACTTACAAATTTTGTTGATCTGTTATGATTCAATATAGGAAAGTGCTACATGTACATAATTGTTTACATAATGGTGTCCATAATTACACGTGACATTGGATCCAATCTTTAATTCAAATCTCACACTTACACATCAACAATCGAATAATTGCCACATCACATTATGGACACCATTATGTCCAATAATTATGTACAAGTAGAATTTTCCTTCAATATATCTTATCCTAAATTACCCTATAAGCAATGCACGAGGGTCTTTTACTAGAAGAATTCCCCACCCAACGTCATCCCAACAACAAAAACAAAGGTCGAAAACCAAGTAAGTTCCTCGTAATTTCAACAATCAAAACAATGAGAATAACAAACCTCTTCATTCATTCACCTTATTGAAGCTACCTTTGAGTTAAATCCCTCCGTTCCTATTGCCTAGAGTCTTTTATAGCCACCCAAGTCCCACAAGTTTCTTTGTGTTGGTTTAGAAGCACGATTATTTTGAGTTTGATCTTCGTGAAATAGGTTCACTAGCATGATTTTATTTTTTTTTTAGCCACGAGAAACACAGTTAATTGGATTCTAAAGAAAAGTACTACTATTTTATCCTTCTTTGGTGTGATCTGTAAAACCAATATTATTATTCCGTCCGACGCAACAGGTTTGGGAAGCGATTAAATTAAAATTTAAGCGATTATAAGTTACGAATCCTTTGAATTGTGAATAATAAATAGGTAGTAATTATGAATCCTACAAAAAAAGTGTAGATAAAAATATTTTTGACCTAAAGTGACTAAATATTACTTTCCAAACATGCTAAACTTCTTGTATGAATTTGAATACGAATAAGAAAGCCAAATAATTGCAGAGTTATTTATGAAAATACAACACAGACCACAAAATTTTAAAGATATTCGAAGAGGAAATTTTGAGACAGACAAAAATCTAAGAATACATTGTTGCATACCCATTTTTGTCTAAAGCAAAAAAATCTAGCAGCAATGGGGATTAAAGAATGCAATAACATTTTGACAGCATACAGACAAAAGTTTAATAGCCCACATTTGGTACATTACACTGCTGGACAAATTTAAGGAAAAGAAACATAAGCCAAAATTTGTTAGCTATCATGTCGGGTCCAGGAATGCCATCAATCTCAAATTTTACCCAATGTTTTATGAAAGAAAATACGCTTAGAAAACTTCTTTGTCGGTCCCAGGAGTCGAGCTAAAAGAGTACGCTAAAGCAGAATTCGCCGTGGAGAATCTTGAGCCAGTATAATCCTTAGAAGATAAACAAATGCTAGGTTCGGTTGTAAGGAACTCAAAGTCTTACAATTAAGCCTCTGTTTGCAAACTTAATCAAGTTATAAATGTCAAACTTCATTTCTAACATTCATTCCAATAGACCCACAAATACTATTCACTTATCCACCATTCATATCTATTTATTTATAAACTAAACTACTCTTTCCAAATGGAGGCAGAGGCTAAAATTCATGAACGGTCCAATTTAAATCAGACCGTTTCAAATCGAAGTCTCCAGCACCAATTCCACGTTCCCAAATGCTACTGAATAAAATTATTTAACATATGAATATACACACATCCGTGTGTGTATGAGCATATAAATGGAAACCTGGAAATGTCGACGTAATAAAAGATGAGCTTTTATCCAATCGTGGTACCCGGGAATCAACAAGCATGGCAAACAATACAGGAGAACGATCTCATCAACAAGCCTCTCTTCTACACAGGGAGAAGAGGTTGTCATCAGATGATCGCTAAGATTTAGATTTACCCTAGCAAATACCCTTATGCAACGTTTGGCAGGAGCTAAACTCTTAGTTCATTATACTACCAGTCATGTATAAAAGAACATAGCAAACGTGCACTTAAAGATTGAAAAAACTCTCTCTTACCAAAGTGCAGAAGTATGATAGACTCCAGAATTTTGCATATAATAGATATACATCAACAATGAAGGTTACTTGGAAACATTGAATCAAAACTGTTACATGATCTGCTTATCATTCAACCTTTGCATGAAATCAAGGTTCATCGGATTAGTACAGATTCAGATTCTTAACTACATTTCTTGAAACTCATAGAGATACATTTAATAAACATACCTCAAGTAATTATCATCTTGTTTCAGAAAGTGGTAGAGCAGCATTGCTCGTGGGAAGGTTGGTTGCTGTACACGAGCAAAAAATGATTGACTTATCCCGAAGAAGAAATATGAAATAATATAGAGTTTTGAAACAACATAGAAATGTTAGTACCTTCTAGTTCGGTTCTCAACCAATCTTGCCCACATATCAAAGCTTCTTTAGCATCAGGACTGAGTGAACTCCTATGATGGTCAAGCATTCTGCCACTGCCGCTGAATGCTACCTCAGATCCAAGAGTAGACACGGGAATCCCGAGAACGTCACGCGCCAACATAGATAAGATAGGATACCTGGGTGTATGAACTTTCCACCAATTTAATATGTTGAAATCATAATTACGTGGAAAGACAGGTTCGTCCAAATACTTGTCCAGATCTGGAGTCATACTATGATTCTGTGAAGTTTCGTATAGGAACTTGTCGAAGCCTTTAAGTTTATCTCTAGTAACATCGCTAGTACCAGGTAAGCTGCCCCCAGACCGAGATGAATCTTGATCAAGGGAAGCTAAGCCAACAGCATACTCATTGAAAAGTTCCCTGATACCATCAGAAACTTCTTTGATGCGATCTGAGGATTCACTGCCATAAATCTGTGGATAATAATACTCGATCAACTTCATTTTGAATCGAGGATCCAAGATTGCTGCTATAGCCAAAGTCAAACTGCACTTGCTCCAATACTTGTCAAACTTGTTCTTTATCTTCGAGGCTATAGAATTAAGAAAGTCGTCAGGAATCTTACACCATTCAATTAATTTAATATGCATATCGCATATCTCTGGAAAAAATACGTTGGCCGTCAAATATTTGTTTCCAACGAAAACATTGGTGAACTCAACAAGAAGTTTCATGTAACCAGCAACAGAACTTGCCCATTCCCACTCTGTATCAGATAAAGCCGTTGTGTAGGTAACATCATTCTCCCGCAGAAGAGAAAAGGCACCCTGATATTCTAATGCTGCTTCAAGCATCATATATGTCGAATTCCATTGCATCAGAGAGTCGAGTGCTAAATTCCTCTTACTATTGATCCCAACTTGTAGAGCATATTCGTTGAATTTTCCTTGGATTTCCTGCAAACTTTTAACATGCCTTATACTTTCTCGAATTTTATGGGTCACGTCGTGAAATGCCTCCATGACCTCTTGCACTATTGATATCAAAAGATGTGTCACACAACGGATATCAAATAACTCACCATTCTTCAAAAGAGGCCTATTTTGAGATAGCCAATCCTTAATCTTGAAAACCATAACATCATAAGCAGAACAATCATCAAATGTCATAGAAAACAACTTACAGTCAATAGCCCAATCAGTCAAACTTTTAATAACAACCGTTGAAAGTACGTCATCATTATAAGATGGATCCAATGTGACAAAGTTAAGCATCTTTTTCTGCAGCTTCCAGTCCATATCAATATAGTTGGCTATCAGGCATATATACTCAGAATTCTCAGGTGAACGCCACATATCAACTGAAAGGTTGATTTTACCATGCAAAAGATGTATTGCCTCATATACCTTCTGTTTCTCCTTCCCATAGATGGTCATACAGTCAAGTTCAGTGGCAGTATTATTATTCACTTCAAACAAAGGCTGAAGATTCTTCACAAATATTTTGAATCCAAAATGTTCCACCATGGCCAAGGGATAACCATGCAACATAATCATTCGGGCAAGATCCAACTGACTACGCTTTTGATCAAATTTAGCACTTCCTAAATTGATGGCTTGATTGGTTTCTTCTTTCTTGTGCTCCTGATCAAACTTAAAGGGTATGGAGCTAATGATTTCATCTTTTATTTTCCCTTCATCATAGCTGACAGTTGTAAGGGCAAGAGTACTTTGACCAAGATTACTTTCTTTTCTCTTCTTCTTTGTGGAAAGTATTTGAGAAACATCATAATTTGATCTCTTCAGACACCGTATCAAATGGTTCCTTAGATGGGTTGTACCGCTATTACTAGATCCACTTAGTTTCTTTTTGCAATGTACACAAACAGCATAGCATGTATCTGCCTTTCTAACTCTTTCAAAGTGATTCCAAACTACAGAAGTCAACCTCTTTTGTTTCTTGGCAGGGATTTCATCCGAGATTTCCATGACTAGGACTTGACATTAGCACATTTTCTGCATCAAGAAACGAAGAAGTTCAGAAGTTAATACAGGGAACCTTTAAAACAAAGTGAGAGTGCATAAGAAAATCTCAATAATTAACTTGCAAAAACCATTTAAAAGAAATAGTCAGGAAAAATTTACAAATTGAATTATTTTTATTATCACACTGATGGAAGTTCATATTTTGCATGTGGTGGTGCACAGCCATTTATGTATGAATTAGATTAACCTGATTTTATCAGACCTCAAAATGTTACATGTTTCTTTCAAAGTAACATTTGATCTGATACAGCATTGACCCGTGACATTTATGGACTATGCTGCTAAATAGAAATTAATTATAATGAACAAAAAAATTCAAGTTTAGAGATTTCCAACTCAACCAAAATCCTTCTTGATGAAACCTTCATAAATAATGAAATGCGAAACAGATCAAACAATCTTGGATAGGATCCAACAACAAACTCGAAAAGCTGACTTCAGGAACCATGAAGTACCAAGTATTTCATTTCGGAGGTTAACCCTCGCTCCTGCCACCCTCTCCTTTCTCTCTCCCTATGTGATGCACCCAAGGAACCCCCCAAACCCCACCCACCTACTCCCTAAGCCAAATATGGTATATATGTCCTCCTGTGGCCATGCAACATGCAATAAATTCAAATAAAAGTTCAAACAGAACAATTTGGCATTAATTGGAAATAATCTGTTGGGAAAATATACGGTGCAAAATTCACCACTCCTAATCATATCACATAATTTTTTTCTATTACTTACACTAAGAGAGGTACTCTACAGCAATGAATCAAACAATACAACAAAAGCTGAAGAACATAAGAAGGCTATAAATTTAATGAAAGGACTAAATAGCTGGTTATTCATTCGATCAATTCAACTCTGTAACACGAACATAGTATTTATCAACGAAAAAAATCAACTATTTTTAATTCCCCAGATAATTCGACTTAAACACAAAATAAAAAATAAAAAATCATAGAATGTAATAAAGACACTCATAAATGAAAATTAACGAAGATAGAATTTTTTTGTATTATGCAAAAAGAAGTTAGATTAAATCAAGCAAATTGAGACGAATCTAGGGTAAAACGGTAGAAATTCGAGCGTGAGAGTGAAAATACTGTTGCGGGTTGACTTTGCAGAGAGAGTCCGATCAGAAGGTCCGAAAACGAGTCGCGGGGTCAGGATTTGGGACATGAATATGGAACCGGATCTAAGTTTGGCTGGTACACATGATGATGGATCGGGTTTACAGTAGTTTGGTATTTTCCCTGTTTATCTGTATAACAAACTAGAGTTGGGTCGGGTTGGGTTAAAGGTTTGATGGGTTAGATTTGGATTTGGGGTTTTGAAGAATCGGATCTGAGAATCTGGTAGGTATGAATGTGGGGAAGGGTTATGCCGTGGGCCCTCCCTCTTGCGAGTTTCATCCAAATAGCATTTTTCATACGGGACACGAAATTTTATATTTAAATGTAAATATATTCACATACATTCAACAATTATAGGGCCATAGAGAGTCAATTTCAATGCATTGATCACAGATTAAGAGCTTGTTTGGTATAGTTATTAATACAATTAAAATCAAATTTTTGACCATTATTTCATTATTTCAGTCATCATTTTTGAATTATTTTCTCATAAATATGACTCACTTTATCTCTAACAGTCAAAAAATTAATTATCAAAATCTCTACTAAACAAGTACTAACTAATTCTGCTTATGAACTGTAAAGACCTTTAATATATAGGTCACAAATCATTCAATTTAGTAATCACAAGTAGTCATTGCTGATAGAAACATGTATCAATGTGAATGATTCACATAAACGATCATAGATATTCACATATCAATAGGTTCATAACTGTAAATTGAAAATAAAAATTGCATTCTTTCAATGATTAATAAAAAAAACACAATTTGCACATTGGTTAAAATGTAAGTTATTTCCCAACGAGAAATCTCTGATCATGGTTAGAAAAATGTTTCGTTCGGTTCGGTTCGAAAACATTAATGTTTTCAAAATCATAAGCTTATATTAAGTTATTATAAATTTACCTTCGAATTCAAATCAGTGAAGTTCAAGTTTTGTTTCGCGAAAATTCAATTCCTCTACAGTCGAGTTTCAGCTTCTCTAGAAAAATGAAAATCAGAAGTATGTCAATAGGATTGTGACCTCATGAAAGCCCAAAAATAGCTAACCAAGAGGGTGGTGAATTGGTTTTTAAATCATTTTTCAAAATAAATTCAGGTCTAAAAATAATGTATTAGCAAATGTAGCGATAAAATAGATATACACAAATATGTAATCAAGTCAAGAGAATTAATGAGCACATTATAAAAGCAGTAAATAGAAGGGAGAGAGAACGCAAATAATTTAATTGTGGATATTTGATCCAACGCAGTGATCTACGTCCTTCGTTACCAAACTTTCTAGTACGAGCAATGTCTTTTTCACTAAATTTAATTGAATTATGGTGTAATCCAACTTTCTACAATACTTCCAATGACTTTCAAACAAGTAGCAGTGATGCTTTTACAACATTAAATTTTACGGGACCTTAACATGACCTACAATTAAAACAAAAGTAAAAATTACAAATGAAAACTTCTTTCTCAATAAATGATATAAACAAAATTACGTACCAAGAGAGAAGTATGCTAATACTTTAATATATAGTAATGAATATAGCTCAAGTGTTATAACATAAAAACTTTTGTGAGAAAAGTGTTTTTCAATAACTTAATTCACTCAAAAAGTTTTTCAATAATCAAGAAGTAAATAGATTGATCTTTTGAAGAATAAAAAGTAAAATAGTTTAGATAAATAATCGCCACACTTCAATAATTACCTTCAAAATCAAACCACACAAGTTCTATCTTTTTACTTTGAGAAAATCCAATTTCGCCACAGCCAACCTTCAACTTCTCCAAAACAGTAAAAACCTGAAGTATGTTGACTGGATCGTGATATTGTGGACCGAAATCGAGGATAAAAGGTGAACTTTGTGACTTTTTGAAGAGTTTTCAGTAAGCTGGGATTTGTATACAGAGAAAATCCCGTCTGGTTGTATGAGGAGAGTGAGCAATATCTTTTAAATATAGTATAGTAACTGATTTATATGAGATAATTTAGTAGAGTATTTTTCAATCAAAATTTAGTATATATGATATTATAATTATAAATTTAATATTTTGAGTTATAACTTAATTTATGAAATTTTTTAAGGAGTTTGTCCATTTTGAAATGTGGTTCTTGTAATGTAATAACGTGTCTTTTATACCCTTTAATCATTATTCCATTTTTATTTTTTTTTAAAATAGTGTTAAATTTGTTCAGTAAATTATGTTGATTAACGTTCAATATGCTATTTTGATTAATTGTTGGGTTTGCTATTGAGGGTGTTTGCCTATTTTGCTGTTTTGGGTAAAAAAAAAAAAAAAAGGAACTTTTAAAGAAATTGTACTCTTGTCGTTTTATTGATAATAATATCACTTATTAAAATCAAAATTTCTCAATTCCAATTTTCACTTGAATACTTGAACCATTTAAGATAGTGTAGCAATATTACAAGTCAATTCAATACTTGAATACAGTGTATGATGTGAATACATCAATCGATCAAATCGAAGTTATTAACGCAAAATTGTCGTTCACACTCAATAATGCTATTTTAAAATGTTAGAAGTGCAAAACGAGAGTAAAACTACCATAACGACACTCTTGTCATTCCAATACAAGGATGATTATATTTATGTCATTAAAAGAAGAGACTTTTCAAACGATATTAGTGTTTGCTTAGGCTTTTTAAATAAAAGCCCTATTTCATGTTTAGCTAATTAAATAGAAGAATGATAATTCTACATACTATTAGGAGGAAAAACAAATAAATTTTATTAACTGTATTATCAAATGTCCATTGTCAAACATTAGTTCAAAAAATTTGGATTTTGGAGTTAAACAATAACTCGCATTAATTTCTTTTTGTTTCTTAAGGCAAATGTTATACTGATATTCACATCAAGCCAATTTGTTTAATCATACGAGTCGTTCACCTGCAATTTACATAAACACAAGCTTAGTAGTCACAAATTGGCATGCTTGGAATGTTGAACTCGAATGGACTCAACTGGATTAAGGAAGATAACAAGCTTCTCCTGTCTATAAACTCGAAAATCAAGAATTCATGACAACAATCGGAAGATGCTGAAGTGGTTTTAACATAGTAAAACTTGGTACCTTACGACGGGTGCAAGAGAACTGATGTTGCCTTATTGGTGATAGGAGACGGTTCCTTAAGAGTCATTGTATTTGTGGGATTGGCAGCCTCTGGTCTGGTTCCTACCCCAAAGGGAGGGCAAACACCGGCCATTCTGTTACCAGTATTAATTGGAACTGCCGTCTGTCTAGCAGGTGAGCCACTGGAGATGTCGAAGGGCCCTGATTTGGAACTGTTTTGTCTTGGTGCCCATATTTCTTCCCTTGGGACTGGAGTTTCAGGAGTGTATGCGGACCAATCCGCGACAAATAAGTCAACTAGTATTTTTTGAAAGAACGTGACGTGAATATATATTATTCTTACGATCAATGGCAAGTGTTGTAAACAGAAGAGTGTTACGTTTTCTAGTGGAACTTCTACTATCCATCATTGCAGCAGGATTTGAGAACAAATCAGGCCCTGATCTTAAATAGAAATGGTTAAAGGGTTGAACTGCCAATTGCTTCAATGACTCCAATTCGCTTCTTGCTTGATCATACATTTCATCAAGTTCTCTTTTGTCCAGCAGCGATAAGAGCTTGTTTTGAGTTTTCACGTTCCAACATAATGGAGATTTTGCATCGGCAATGAAATTGAGATTAACCTGGATTTCTCAAAAAAAATTTCCTGAAGTTGTAACGACCCAAAAATGAAGGATTTGAGGCGCTACCAAAAGATTTATTTATAAAATGGTCAATGTTATTTTAAACCACTTATGATTCATATTTTTAAATTGCTAACTAGCACATCCTTAAGAGTCAAATAAAGTAGGATTTCTGACAACTAAATTTGTAAATTTCATGCTGTTAAAATATTTTCTCTTAATATAATCATCTACTTACTGGTATGAAAATCTCTATAGATAAAATAGAAATAGTATGCACAAAATATTAACTAGCCATATTTTTAATTCTTCCTCAAATAAAAATAATGATAATGAGGCATATTTTATTTATTCCTTTACAGTGAGTAAAAATAAGGCATCAACTTCACCAATTTAATATGATTATTGTGGTTTCATAAATTTGACGTGTATGGGAATGCTAATTAACCCCCAATGTTTAAATCTCCAATTTTTTTTACATGTTGGGCACCCAAGACAAACATATGGAAAGTGATGTGAATACTGTTTTGACCATGTGTCATAAATTATAGGAAAATTTCATAGTAAAGTACATAAAAATAGTATTTAACAAGAACTAGACAGTAAAGACACATCTAAATACTTTTAAGTAGTGCAACCGGTAGAAAAAATAACATTCAATGCAAACTTTATTTAAGGTGCGATCTACATATATTCATGTGCAGATAAACATGTACAAGAATTTAGTTATAAATAAATGTCTATTACAATAAAAATAAAATTACGAGCCAAAATTCTAGATTTTTTTGTCCAGCAAGACAAGGTACAACCACTCAATCGAATCACCACACTCCGACACGACCCGATCTAACTTGTGAGATGTACGGAAAATGGTGAGTACATGGAAATACTCAGTAGGATATAAAATTAATGGTGCGATCCCGTATAAAAATTTTAAAACATGTATTAGAAAATCATATCGTCTCATATCTTTAAATTCGGTAAGAGCTCATATCATATTATATCATATCATTGTACCGGAATGACCATATCATTCATATCATAGTATATCACATCACATCACATCATAACTTTAACTTTCATGAGTATAAAATTCGTCAACATGAAAAAAATATTTAAACAAGATAAAAAAACACTGCACCTCAATATCCTACCTTGTAAGGTTGAATGAATTCCTAAAAGATGAAATTCAAAAATTACGTTTCAAATCTTCTAATTTTCTTGGCTGCCTTTTAAAAAAATTGAAACTGTCTTCTGCCGACTGCTTATGTATTTATGTTTGTGGTAAAATTTATGGGACTCTTTCTGCGCTTTATTTATGCTGGAGATAAATACCCTTTTTGAATTTGCCATGCACGTGAGTATGTATATATGGGTGTGTGTGATGAGTTTTGGTGCAAGTAGAATTATAGCATGGTGGAAACATGTGGAGATAGTGGGTAAATGGGATAAAGTTGAGGAAACCGTATGTGTAATCAAAATACTAGACCAAATCTTACCAACTAACCATACCTCCCAACAATTAATTTATTACCATACACGTGGCCAACAAATTGAAACTAGAATCAATAAAGTCTGTCTGTCTCTCTCCTTATATATATTTATTATTATTAAAAATATTCAATCTTAAGCAACATCTCAAACAAATTTAGATTTCAATTTAAAATTCTCCTCCTTCTCTCTCTCTCTCTCTCTCTTCTTGTATATATGTATTATTATTATTTTATATCTTTATTTGGATAAAAAAATATTCAATCCTAACCTACCCAAGAATCTTCATCCATTTCACGTGACTTGAGAGAAATTAAATTCATTAAATAATAAATTAAAATATAATTATAAAGCTATATCTTTCGACCTCGATAATTTGGACTCCACTAATCCAAATTAACTTTTTCTCGAACCTAACATGCATGATTAATTACGACCTATTCAACGAGCCAAATATTCATATACTTATTATCTCTCCAATAGTATCTACATTTTAAGCCAAATAAAATCGAAATTTACTTTATATATACTTTGGTCCCCCAAACTTTCAAAACATTAAAATATAGTATACAAAAAATCAAATTCTAATCTACGAAATTTTGGGGCATTACAGAAGCTGTTGCTTATCTTCAGACAAGGTCTCTATCTCTTGCTCAAAAATCTGGCACCTCAAAGCCAATTTCTGGTACTCAATATGGATTTGCTCCAATTTCTCTGTAAATTTTTCTTGCATTGTCTCACATTTCTGCTGGCACTGAGCAACTATCTTGTTCATCTTCACTTGCATCTCCAAATCCTTTTGCCCAGTGGAAAACATGACACTTCTGAATGAACTCTTCATCAATAAGATCCCTTCAGAAAAATAAACAGGACAAATGTTGCTCTACGATTTTAAAAGTTGGAGTTGCCTACTCCCATACTTATAAGTAGCGTCCTAAACATTTTCATTGCAGAACCGAATAATTTATTAGATAATAAATCCTGGCATGGTGCAAACAGTTCAATTATTGAGGATACATATCTGAGGAGAAATCCCAGCCATTTTCATTTGCAGGAGAGAGTGTCGAATAATTAGCAAGTAGGCTGATACAATCCATTCAAAGTTAATAATATGAAGACTGAGGTGAGTAGGGTGGATAGAGAGCTCAAGAGATGACTGAATTTATTTTTTTCATACATTTATCCATTCGTCATTGGGATTGATATCCACAAGTTTCATAAGACTGGCAAGCGAAAAATGTCAAAAACAAGATGGATCATGTAAACGCCATAATCTAAAGTCATAAAGGACCGTTCCATCAAGAATCCGTTCAAATAAATTCCAAAAAATAAAGATATAAGACGACCAACAACAACAACAAGCATTCATCAATAACTCAGCAGATTGCAACAAATTTCAGACTTACTGCAGGACGGGCAAATAGGTTATTTGCATGAAAAACATTAGACCTTAAGCTCTAAAACTCTTGCACCCGACATTTAGAAGGGGGCGAGGTGACAAACATTTAAAGTTCATTATACCTTTTAGATAGCACTTGATTAAAGATGGAGCAAGCAGCATCATTGCTGAGAATCTTACTGGCATCTTCAGTGCCTTTCAAAGTAATTAAGGAGATCCTATCCTAATGCCTCCAATGTCCACAGTTTGACAAGATTCATAAACCTGAAAAAAAAATTAAATTTAATTCAGTCATTTGGATACACAAGAGGTGACTGCAGCGGTGGTAACAGCTTGTCCTTCTAATTCTCGCCAGCATGCATTGCATCTCATTTTGGCCTTCAAAATATTACGAATTTTGTGAATAATGAGGAATATCTGAAGATTATGACATAGAACTTGAGTATTTACTTGGTCAAAATAAGGATCTGTATCATTTATAAATTATAAACAAGATCCACTCAGATTTGATGCTGAAGGAGCAAACTACAAGTACTGTTTTAACAACTGCTATAATTGGCTACGAGCCTATGACCATAATGTAAGCAAAAATCTGGAAAAGATAAGGTGATGAATGAAAAGCAAAATTGTCTGAAGATAAGAAAAAACTCGTGATATTACCCTATTAGCTTGATGCTCATTCTTCGAGTGGTGTTTTGTAAAATCACATTATGAATTGACGTTCGTTTATTTGCGTGTTATGATTTGAAGTGATTCTCTAAGGTTCCATGATCATATAGGATGTCACAAATTGTATTCTCGATGGATCGGGTATAGTAAGACACAATTTGTGATGTGATCAAAATTATGTCGTTCATAATCGGTTAATAAAGTTGGACGCTTTATATTGATAAGATTGTATTGTTCTTATAAAGATTTGTCTAGATCTTGAAATAGGAACAATAATGTTTTTCGATGCACATTGAACGGGACCGCATAGATGACTCATTTGTGACCGTTTGAAATGAGACTTTACTTGATTATCAAATAGGTCACATAAATCCTAAGTGAGTAATGTACCTTTGATTGCTAGTTCAAGTTCTTTGAGGTACCAATGAGTGAAGCCTTAAATAGAAGATTGATCTCGGTGCTTTGGAAATCAGGCCAAGACAATTAGAGATCATATACTTACAATAGTGGAATCCATTAATCATTGAGATGAGACGATTGTCACTCTAAGGTATTTTCCTAGGCAAATTGAATCTCAGCTCAGTAGGTCGACGATGAGATCGTTGGACTTTACATTATGATTTGATCACAATAAATTTGCCGTATGAAAATGGGACTTAGAGGGTAATACATGTTGAAGGGCAAAACCGTCATTTTGCCAATTTCAACATATTGGCGGTCAAATGGGGGTGGACTTGTGGAACGATAATTAGAGCATATTGTTATTGAATCATAATTTGCTTCTATAACTATCACTCGACTCGAGAGTACAATCTCGATTTTTTGGTAGAATAAGTCGGGATTAATAGATGTATCTCAATTGGTCAAGAGTTTACCAAATTGGAAATATCTATTGGAGCTTAGGTCATGTGAGTCCGGTTAGGTCCATCTCTTGGCTCCAATAAAAGGTGTATAACTTAATTAGTCTACTACAATAAAGTTTAAGAAAATTTGTGCAATTTTCAAACTCTAATAGGGCATTATAAATATGTATTTTATTGGCATATTTTATATGAGAATTAGGATTAGCCACTTTTCACTTTCTCCAAAAAGAAAATACACCTAGTGGAGAACAATGAAGAAGATCTAAGGAAGGAAGCAATTGGCTAGACCATCAATAACTTCTTCAAAATGTTATCATCTTCCCTTTCTATGTGTGAGGATTTTATAATCCAACGATTTCAAGGTCATCAAAATCCTTATTTACATGGTTTTAATCTTCAAATGAAAATTAATTTCCTATTGTAATGATTAAAATTCATTAACCAACAAATGGTATTAGAGCCAAGGTTATTGTAAGCCTTGAGTAGGATTAAATTTTTTTTTTTTTTTTTTTAAATTCTAGTGTAATATCCATTTTAGTTGGGTGGTATTAGGTTATTTGATTTTTTGACATGTTTATGCTTTAAATATATTTAAATTTATTGTTGATATATTCATAATCACTCTTGGCCTTAGATTTTTTTTTTTTTTTTTTTACTTTCTATTGTAATTCATTTATTATAGTTATTCTCTAGAAATATTGTAAGTCATAAGGCATTAAGGTTTTTGTATTTTCTCTTCATTTTCATACTTGTATTTTGAGGAATAAATGTAATCTTTGTTGATGTATTTTCAATGAAGAAGAAGGAAGAACAAAAATGCAAGAAACTCAAGAAACACCTAGCTGTGTGGCGGTGACGGCGGTGGCCGTCGTGACTGGAGCAATGGCAGCCGTCGCGACCATACACTGAAAGCAGTACCTGAAGCTGTTTAGTGTGCTACTGCTCCATGCAGTAGCGACCACTGGGGCCGCCTTGTCGTCGGCGGTGCCTTTTTGGGGTCATCGGAGTTGTGTGTGATTTGGTGTTGTGTGTGTGTTTTCTTGTCAGGATTTGAAAATTGGGGTAATTTGAATTTTTTGGGCTTGTCTTTGATACATGGGTCAATGTTGTTGGATAAGAGCCTTGTTGATTTTAAGTTTTGGGCCTAAAAATTAAATTAACCTTATTTTCATGTTATACGAGGTAGATTAAGAAGATTGAAGAATTGGGTCAGGATGTGGCCCAATGTAATTCTTTTTATCCATGTTGTAATTTAAATTCTTAGGATGTGCCATTAGTGATTATTATTTATTTAATTATCGCTTTTACATCTTTATGGATGGATGAATGTTTAATTATTATCGCATGTCATGTAGATTAAATGAAACACCACCCGGTGCACTAAAATTATATGCATTTACATTTAAATATTTTTTTAACTCTAAATTAATTAGAGGTGGTTGAAAAATATTTTATATAATTAGTGTCATTATAATTGTTTATATTTGGAGGACTAATTAAGTGAAAATCCAACTGTGCAAAATAATAAGTGGGAGAGAGCTTATAGGCATGTATAAATCTACGGCCTCCTCCGTCATCTAATTTGTTATTAAAATACGTACGTTTAATATCGAATTATTTCGATTTCCCTATAGGAAAATTTCGTTATTTTAAATTAACTGAAATTGGATATAGTAATAGAATTTCTTTTAAAAATGAAATAATGTGATGATCATCCTATAGACGACATCTTATATATTTCGGATATTTTAAAATTATGGATGGAGGTTATTACACTTATATATGAATATTTTTGGGGGATTTCCTATAGAATATTTCAACAAAATAATTCAAAGGCTAAATAATAATCAATCCTCATTTTTTTTTTGTGACATGAGATGCGTAACTCAATAAAATGAGTGGGAGGGTCCCAACCTTCCCAACAACTACATTGACATCCTATAAAGGGCGTGTTAAAAGTTGTAAGAGTTTAAGGTTTTTGATTACAAATAAGTTTTGGGTCTATATTTGCATATTCATATATATGCATCATACAAAGATTATTGCTTATTTTATTAATACGCGAATCGTTAATTTTACAGAAAAATATTGCTTAATCCATTATCAGTAATATTTAACAAAAATCAACTTGTTGGAGAAAACTACGTTAACTGAAAAATGAATTTTAATATTGTTCTTACCGCTAAAAAACACAAATTTGTGCTGGATGAAATTTGTCCCGAAACCTCTAAAGATGACTCCACAAAATCTCAAAAGGCTGCATATGAAAAGTGCAATCATTCTGACGAGATGGTCTGTTATTACATTTGACATCCATGTCAAATGTATTACAATAGAAATATCAAAATATAAAAACTGCTTTTGACATAATGGAAAGCCTTCAAGAGATGTTTGGACATCAACGCCGACATGCTAGGCAAGCCTCCTTTAGGACAATCATGAACACACGCATGAAATTGGGCGCATCTGTAAAGGACCATATGTTAACCATGATTGGTCACTTCAATACTACGGAGGTTTTAGGAGTTGACATTGATTCCGAGACACAGATTGACATGGTCCTTGAGACTCTTCCTCAGATGTTCTCACAATTTATAGTTGATTATAATCTATACAAGATGGACTTGTATCAGACGAAATTAATGAAAGAGCTTCAAAATGCTGAATATGTTCTAAAGGCTAGAAGTGGAAGTGTTTTGATTGTTACAGTCGGATCCTCTCATCGTAAGCCTTCTGGTGGCAAAGGAGGAAAGAAGAGGAAAAAGCCAAACAAAAAGCTAGATAGCAAGTCAAAGGGGAAGAAAACTACTACCGATGGGAAACCAAAGGGAAAGTATTTTATTTGTGGACAAAATGGTCACTGGAAGAGGAACTATTCAGATTACCTAGCTAAGGGGCAGCAAGGCAAAGGCAATAATGCCCTATTCATTGAGTAATGCTTAGTGGTTGATTCTATTAATACCTGGATTGTAAATTCTGGAGCCACTAATCATGTTTGCAATCCTTTGCAGGGGTTCTAAGAAACCAAGCATCTCAGTGAAGGGGAGTATACTCTTAAAGTTGACACATGAGCATTTGTATCTGCCAAAACTATTAGCACTTTTACTTTATGTTTTGAGAATCGTAGACATTTAATATTGAGTAAATTTAACGATTGCTCATCCAACTTTGATGTATATTACTACTTGCTCATTGAACAACAAAACATAAATAGTTGCTCACCAATCTATCCAATTACTTACCCATTGCTCACCCATCTGATCTCCGTCTACTAAATTAACAAAATGTGCCACGTGGCAAATTTGAAATGAAATCAGGTGATGGTGTGGCACGTGAAATGGCAACAACAATCATCTTCTTCTTTTCTCTATTCTCAGCTTCGAATTTTGGACCATGAAGTTCCTCCATGAATATGACAGCAAACTCGGATTAAAAATTCCAATCAATGCCATTACTGGAGAGGAGAGCCATATTCCAATTTCGTTTTTAGTCTTGCATTAATTTACTTCAATTTTGAACCCGTCAAATTTACTCTTATGGATTTCTATTTCCCTTCTTCTGGGCCTATCAAGTTTAATCCATTTTCAGCCTGAAATTCTCGTTGAAATAAGTTAGAAAATCAATTGGAAACCGACAAAAATACTTAAAAGATCTCCAGAAGATGCTGTAGAATTTGATTGATCTTTGGGGAAATCAATGAATGTTGTTGATTCATCTATGAATTTGGAGAAAGTAAGGAGAATTATAATGGGCCTTCTGTAAATTTGGAGAAAGATGGGGAAGGGAGTGGAGTGTGGTGGATGAGGAGGTATTGGAGAAGTTAATGGTGAAGAATCTGGTAGGGAAATTGGGCCGATGGGAGGCAATAGCTAAGGTGGCACATTGGTTGGTCGTTCTGGTAGAGAATTTACAGGAGGTGGAGGCGGGGATTCCAACTGAGTTTTTCGATAAAGGCGATAAATTGGCCCGATTTCGTTTCTAGTATTTGAGCCACGTGGGATTTTGGTCAGCCATGTGGCACATTCTGTTAGTTTAATAGAAGGAGATGAGATGGATGAGCAATGAGTAAGTAATTGAATAGATGAGTGAGCAACGAGTTATATTTTATTGTTGGGTGAGCAAGTAGTAATATAGACCAAAGTTGGATGAGCATTAATTAAATTTACTCATTTAATATTAGATGACTATTATTATGTTCCCGAATTTACACGAAACTTGGTTTTCGTTGCACTTTTATATCATGTTGGTTATTCGGTATTTTTTACCTATTCTACGGTGGTTATTAAGTTGAATAATTATATTATATGTTCGGGTCATATGGTTAATAGTCTTTATGTCTTAAGTCCTTTGATTGGTTTTATACATAACATTACTACTTCTAAGAAAAGAAAGAAGTTGTCTGGTACTAATGAAACTCTCCTTTGGCATCTTAGATTGGGTCATATCAATCTAAATACGATTCAAAGATTGGTAAAGGATGATCCTTTAACTGAGTTAAAAGTAGAATCTATACTAACTTGTGAATCTTGTATAGAAGGAGAGATGACCAAGATGCCATTTAAGGTTAAGGAACTAAGAGCTAAAGAGGTTTTGGAATTAGTACATTCCGATGTTTGTGGACCTATTAGTACTCGGGCTAGAAGAGGATACGAGTACTTCATCACCTTCACAGGTGATTACTCTAGATTTGGATACATATACCTTATGTCTCAAAAATCCGAAGCTTTGGAGAAATTCAAAGAGTTTCGGACGGAAGTTGAGAAACAATTAAGTAAGAGTATCAATGCACTTCGATTTGATCGAGGCGGCGAGTATCAATCCCAAGAGTTTAAGGTCTATTTTTTAGATAATGAGATATTATCCCAATTGAGTGCACCAAGAACTCCCTAACAGAATGGTGTCTCGGAAAGAAGAAATCGAACTCTTTTAGATATGATAAGATCAATGATGAGTTATTCATCATTGCCTATATCCTTTTGGGGATATGCACTACAAACAGCCATTTATATCTTGAATTTGATATTATCTAAGTCAGTTCTTAAGACACCTCTTGAATTGTGGAATGGGCGCAAGCCTAATTTACACCATATTCGGATGTGGGGATGTCCAGCACATGTGCTAAAAGGAAAGATAGATAAGATAGAATCAAGATCAACAATAGACACTGACCTGACCCGACTCATTTATTAATCATGAAGCTTTAGATGGCATGTCACTTTAGATTTTTGTTTTTATTTTTTTTTAACCGTTGTGTATATTTTATGTTGAGTACTGTTATTAAATTTTACTGTGTCTTTTTATACATCCAATACTTTGAACAATTTGAAAATTATGTTGAGTGCTGACGTTGAGAAATGGTACCTATGTTGTTTGCTCGTAATAACAAGTACCATAATTTGCATAAAGGATATATGTATGACCTTTGAAATTTTGTGGTCAATGAATGAATTTTCTCAAGTTTACTAATACATAGAAATTAAGTTAAAGTGCATAAATAATTTGTGAATTGATTAAAGAGTTACGAGAGTTCTGATGCTTTAATCAATTCAAAAATTTTCATGTGATTTACGCTATTTTGAAAATTATTTCTACTATTTTGTTTTAAATCAAATTAAAGACTCAACGATTATTTTACTTAAAATTTGACCTTTTAACGGTTAAATTAACCTTTTCCACTGTAAAAGGACCTCAGGCACAAATATTTTAAAGTTGGGGCTCCAGATTCTAGAAATATAAGGTTTGGGACCACATCGTCAAACGTTCAAAGGTCAGGGACCCAATGCTACATACCCTATAAATTTCAGCCTTTCTATTTTCTCAAACTCCAATAAATATCTTCATATTGCCACTTGTCAATTAAAAGCATCAGTACACATTCATAAACCCTCTTGGTCCCCACCCCACTATCCCCTATTCTGCTATTCATAGAGTTGATTCATTTAACAATCTCACCGGCTTAGAAGATCGAGATTGGAACCGACGTGGGATGAAGATTCAGTGCAACGCCTGTGAGGTGGCGGAGGCGGTTTTATTGTGTTGCGCCGACGAGGCGGCGCTGTGCAGGCCTTGTGATCAGAAGGTGCACGCCGCCAACAAACTCGCCAGTAAGCACCAGAGGGTTCTTCTCACTACCTCTTCCAGTCAGATGCCAAAGTGTGACATCTGTCAGGTAATAAATATTTATTAGTTTTTTGTATTTTGTTTAGTTGAATGTTGTGATAAAATTAGCACAGCCCTGCTTCCTGGCCAGGGTTG